GATGTTGCATCGATATTTGCATAAACAAAAACCAAAAACCCGATGTGAAAGGAACAGGGTGGCCTTGGGGTGGGGTTTTAGCTTTCGCGCGACGCGCCGTGGACGACCCCCTTGGGTCGAGGCGCGGCGCTTCAGTTGGCAAGCCCCTAAACCCCAAAACCTAAACCAACAAAACCTAAACCCAAAAAACCTAAACCCAAAAAACCCTGAACTTTATTGGGCTCTCCGGGCTCCGGGCCTCAGATAGTTGTCCTCGAGCCTCTCGAGGAATGCCAGGCCTGTTGAGCCCATGAGAGTTTGGGCTTTTGTTTTTTAGTTTAGTTCAGGTTCTAGGTTTTAGGCTTTAGGTGTTAGGGTTCAGGGTTTAGGGTTTAGGGTTAAGGTTTAAAGGTTTAGGGTTTGGGTTTAGGGCTTAGGGCTTAGGCTCTCTAAACCGGGGGTCCCATTTAGCTTCCAAACATGGTACGGCACCCCTGTCCAAAGGACCCCAAACGGGACCTGAGTTTGAAGAACTACTCATGTGCCGAATCGTGAAGAACCAGGTTTCAGACATTAGTTTGGCTTGGGAGCTGAGTACCCTAGCCTCACTAGACTTTGAAGTAACCAGGGAGAAAAAATATAGACTCTGATTTCATAACGGTTCCCTTGAGGAACAGGCCCCAAACAAAAGTATTCAAGTATGGTACTCCAGAACCCAGCCCCAATCATAAAACCTTACCCCTTCAGCACCAAAAAAATGCTCAAGGATTGAGTTGGTCGTGGTGTAGGATTTATGGTCTTCTGGCTCGGGCTCATGCTCCGAGTTTAGGGTTTGGGTTACAGTAGCGGCCGTAATAATTAGAAAAGGGTTTTGAGTAGATTATACTATATTTACAATACGGAACCCCCAAAGTAGTATGGGCAATTCTTTAGGCCCCTACATTAAGGTTTGCGGACTGATAGGATTCGGGCTTTATTCAAGGCTTTGGGATATCTGTCTCTAGACGGCTCAGGACTTGCAATAAGGACAAGCTACTCTGGGTGGCCTTCATCATTCGAATCGGGTCTTCGGGTATTTTGTGTTATAAGGTTTTTTGTGGTAGAACTCTGCCGGGAATCTAAGTGGTATATTAAAGCTGGAGTCTACCTAAACCCTAAACCCTAAACCCTTCTCCTAAACCCTAGACGGACCCCTACATTTCCTTACTCGAAGATTGCTTAGGTGCCCAGTCAGACTGGACCGGAGCTATCGAGACACTAACCCCTAAACCCTAAACTTAGGGTTTAGGGTTTAGGGTTCAAGGTTATTTAGGGTTTAGGGACTCTCTATACTGGCTGAAGAGTAAAAGGATGCAGGGGCTTAACAATTAGAACAGGGCTGTGGGGCGCATGATACTATAGTTCTAACAAGGCACACCCAAAAAATAGTATTGGTATTTATATTAGGCCCCTGTATTATCTCCTTAACCGTGCTCTTGGGTTTAGGGCTTTTCCTAGGGCTCTTGAGTTTCGGCTTGAGGGCTCTTGGGTTTAGGTGGGGCAGCTACAGCTCTTCGCTGCTGCGGGCTCTGGGTCTCAGGGCGCCGGGCGAAGGATACTGAGGTTTAGAAGATCAGGCTTCAGGGTTTAGGGTTTGGGGGGTTTAAGGGTGTAGGGTTTAGGGGTTTAGGGTTTAGGGTTTAGGGGCTTAGGGTTTTGGGGGCTTAGGGGTTTAGGGTTTAGGGTTTAGGGGTTTAGGGGTTTAGGGTTTAGGGCGCTTGAAAATAGCTCGGTTTCGGGTTTACGGTTCAGGGTCTCTGCAAGGACTGGCCTTATGAGCATACAGGAAAATCCCACGAACATTCAAACAAACCCTGCAGTGTACTCATGCGTCTACTCCCGAGCAAACGATCCCGAATAGCTAATGTCAAAGAAAGGCCCCTAAATCCTAAACCCTATAAGCCCTAAGCCCTAAACCTTATAACCTTAACCCCCTGAGAATCCGACTCAAGCAAAACAGCAGGGTTCTTGTTCATCTACCTCCTCGAAGGAAAAGGCTACGCGAAAAGCCAAGCGAGCAAACGCCACCGACTCTTGAGCGACAGCTTGGATCCCGTAAATCTCAGCTTCGCAACTGGACAGAGCAACACATTGCTGCTGCATGCTGATACATTTGATGAGGCCGTCTTCATGAAAAATGACGCCACCTGTGACTCCTTTGCGTCCCATGCATCGGTACGGCGCGTGCGACGCATCCGAAAAGGCTTGCACGACGGACTGCGCACCTGGTCCCAACCCATGCAGTGGTGTGTCAACGGGTATCTTCAGCACTGTCCGAGTGTCCCTTTTCAGGAACCGCAGCAGAGCACGAAGAGCACATTCGATACACTACATCGGTCGCGCTTGTTGCGTAGCCAGCAGTGACAAGTAAAACTTGCAGTCCTGGCGTGTCTGGGACCACCAAAGCAACTTCCCCAGCACCTTCCTGAAACGCGCATACGCCTCTTCTGTGCGAGGCTGCGACATGGTCCCAGGCTCAGTCGCCTTTTCAAGATGCACTGCGAGATCAGGCGCAGCATCACCTAAACCCCTGCAGATCAAAAAGCGTGTGAACCCCTCACCCTAGAATCCTGGCTGCCCGCGCAATTCGAGGGCTGAGGGTTTAGGATCCTTAGGGTCGGGTTTTCGGGTATATTTAGGGTTTAGGGTTTAGGGTTTAGGGTTATCCTTAGGGTCCGGTTTTCGGGTATATTGCATGACAATAAAAAGGAACCCTGGCAAAATTATCCATCGAGCTAAATTTTCCACCTCTCTCTTACTGCAATTCTGCCGGAGGGTACATTTAGGGTCTTAGGAAGTTTAGAGTTTACGGAATTACGTGCAGTCTCCATTGCGTCACCAAGAAAGGCACTATGATCAGGTGTAGTATAGGTATTTAGCTATAGGCCACTACAAGGCCCCACGCTCTATGGTTTAGAGTCACATTCCTGAACCCTTCACCAAGACTCTGAACCCTGATCCCACCCTGAACCCGCAACCCTACAGCTCTAGAACCCCTATAACTGTCAGCAATTAGGGCTTTGGGTTTAGGGTTTAGGGACACCATATAAGGTCGCGTAAACCCCAAAATCTAAACAGGAAGCCCGGCGCCACGATACCTAAACCCGGAAGCCCAAAGCCCGAAAGATTGCAACTGCAAGCCCTGGCGGTCCTCTGTGGATATAGGGTTTAGGGTTTCAGAAGGGTTTAGGGTTTGATAGGGGTTCAGGGTTTAGGGTTCCATAAGGATTTAGGGTTTAGGGTTCTATATGGGTTTAGGGTTTAGGGTTTCATGAGGGTTTTGGGTTTAGGGTTTGATAGGGGTTCAGGGGTTAATGTTCAAGGTTTAGGCTTTAGGGGTGCATGCAGGTTCTTGAACCCTACTAAAGCCTTGTATGGCGCAGTGCCAAACCGGTAAGTGCCCAAAACCTAGAACCCTTGTACAACCCGTATGGAACCCCAAAACCAAACTCTCAAGCCTAAGCCCTAAACCCTAATCCCTAAACCCTAAACCCTCTCAAGCCTTGTTGCCAGTGCTGCTCATCCATAGCCGAAATCAATGCATTGTAAGTGATCAAGGTCGCCTTCGAACAGAACATTTAGAAAGGTTTCTCTTTAGGGTGTAGGGTGAACATTTAGAAAGGTTGCGCTTTAGAGTTTAGGGTTTTAGGGGTCATTTAGAAAGGTTCCGCTTTAGAGTTTAGGGTTTTAGGGGTCATTTAGAAAGGTTCCGCTTTAGAGTTTGGGGTTTTAGGGTTTTAGGGATTGGGGTTTAGGGTTTAGGGTTTTAGGGTTTAGGGCTTTGGGTTTAGGGGCTTTGGGATTTGGGGTTTAGGGTTTTGGGGTTTAGGGTTTAGGGCTTTAGGGTTTTAGGGTTGAGGTCGCTTTAGGGTTTAGGGCTGTAGGGCTAACCTAAGTTCTAAGGGCTTATTAGGGTCTACCGGTCCAACCAAAAACTCTGCGGAGTCGAGAGAGTTGGGAAAAACGATCATGAAATCGTGGGGTTTAGGCGTACATCTCAATTTCCTAGTGAACTTTCCACAGCCTTCCGCCCTCACCCTCCATGTTGACCGACAGGTCCTGAATGAATTGCGGTTGATTCGGGTGTAGTGCCATTTGCGGCATTTCAGACCTTAATGATTCGGCTGATACATTCAATACAACCCTGACTCAGCAGCCCCACTCCCCTGAACCCTACACCTTCCGAGATCTTCCAACATCCCTTAAGCAGGGTTTAGGGTTTAGGGTTAGGTGTACGACCCAAATATGATTTTGGACATGTTTCCTCGTTTGAAGGAATATACTTCTACTATCCCAATATGTTGCTTAGGTCAGTTGCTCAAAATTTAAGAATTTTGGAAGGTCTAGGGTTGGTAACAAAATAGAGCCAGAACCTTTGTACATCCATTAAGCGAACCTCAACCATTGAAAGGAGCTGTGGAATGAAACCTGGTACGTTTATCACTCTCCCCTGCAGTGAAACCCCAAATAGACACACACCAACATTCCTTCGGAGCCCTATAGAGTCAACACCGTATAAGACCCCGAAGTATACACTCATCGAAGCTCCTATTCATAAAACCCGGTCACTGTTACGAAGTCAGGTACCCTCCTGACGTACTTACTGTGGCAGCCTCAAAAAACTGAACCGGATTTTGGAAGACATGATGCAGCAGCATAGCATAACGAGAATAAAGAACCCTGGGGAAGAGTACTAGTAGTTACTTAGGAAGGAACCCGTTTAATGGAACACTTTTCGTTCGGAGTATTTAGGCATTTAGGCTTTCGAAGTTATCCCAAATAGCCTACGTCTTATTCAGGACTTACATGACGAGTTCGTAAGAAGAAACACGAAACCCGTAGGTCTTACGTTTAGGATTCAGGAGGACTTGTACAAAGAGTTCATAAGAAGAAACACTAAAAAGGGTAGGTCTTGGAGGGTTCAGGTAAAACAAGAACCTCGGAGTCCTGAAACGGCACAATTTTCGAGCGGCTCTTCTGCACTATCTCGGGTCTTCTGTGGGAACGCCGTGCGTCTTGATCCTCAGAAAGGCAGAGAGGGATGCCCCCCCAAGGGCTCGGAAGGATTGTTAACATCCGAACATGAACACCACATGCACGACTCCCCAAGGTTCCATGCGCCCTTGTATTATATACTTTGACCCTAAAGTACCTATATAAAGGATACTTTAAGGTCAAAGTCTATACTATACGAGTACACGGACCCTTATACCCTAATCCCTTATGCCACCAGCCTCAAAGGCACCCCGAAAGAACCTCCTGCGCACACATGGACCAGCAGGGAATTTCACGTCTGGCCACGGTGAGGTGTGACATTGCCGGTTGAGGACCAGTGCGCAGATCGCGAACTTAGGGGATTAGGGTTTAGGGTTGAAGGGAGTATGGCTGAGGGTTTAGGAACAGGGCTTTAGGGTTTAGGTTTACCCATAGGCCCCATAGTAGTTCCTTTTTGGGATTACCTTTACAGGATTCTAAATATGAACCCCCAAAAGGAACTACTTTAGGGCCTAAATCCCTAAACCCTAAACCCAAAGGCCCTAAACCCTAAACCTTTCTTTAGGGCCTATGGGTAGAGGGTTCAGAACTACAGCCAGAACAACAACAATCGATAACTGAAACGGGCCGAGCAAACATTGAAATCATGAGAATCGGTGTCCGATAATTAGGGTTTAGGGTTTTGGGTTTAGGGCTTCGGGTTTAGAAATTCGGGTTTAGGGTTTAGGGTTTGGGTTTAGGGTTTAGGGGTTCATGTGTTGGAGTCTTGGATCACAGAAAGAGTACATCAGTGTTGAGAGATGGACCCCGAACAAACGCTGCTTGAGAGAACCCAACAGTTAGTGTAGTCAGTGGAGGCTGTTGAGGTGTAGGCCTTGTGACGATGATCTACCACGCCTCAATTCAGGGGACGTCGAGCTGTCTGCAAAATGATTGTTACCCAGAGGGTCCATATATACTATTAGTATGGAATTAGTTCCCTAAAGCCATAATAAGGATGGTCTTTTGGGACCTATTTCCATAATGGTAATGCATATGGACCGTCTGGGTTAAGTCCACTGCCAGTCCATGCACGAAAACGCGGACACAAACTTACCGTTGATCCCGACCACAATATTTCCTTGAGCCTGATACGAAAACCCAAACCCTGCCCCGCGAACCCCAAACCACCAAACCCTCAACCCTGCACCCCAAAACCCCAAAAGTCCTAGACCTTAAACCCCCAAACCCAGCATACGCAGCCAAGGGTCATGGCCAAGACAGATGCTTGCACGGCCGCGGAACATGAACGCAAAGTGCCTTGCTTTCTTGCTCTGTTATTCCAGAATTTAGGTCTGCTTGAACCCTAGGAAACCCTATCTACTACTAGGGCTTCTTAGTATGACTTCCTTTTATAAGCCGCTGAAGATTAAACAGCTCTAGAGTAGCTTCTTTTGGAGTTTAAGGTTTAATCCTAGACACCCCGAACGATAGCGATGCTAGCGAAATGAGGGGCCGAATCCACGAACAAGACTGCTGTGCTCACGACACCCGACTTTAAATAGCCTTTCAATCTGAATCCTATATCTGACACCAGCTGAAGGCCCTTGAAAGCCACGGCCTATAAACCCTAAATTAATTTTGTGGCACAAGGGCCCTAAGGGGTTCAATTTCAGAAAGCAAAAATGTGACGTGATGTTTTGATGTTTTGGAACACAACCCCCTTTGTGAAGCCTAACATTCAAAAAACGCCTGCATCCAAAACCCTGCACCCTAAATCCCGGCACAATCTAGAATCTAAACTCTAAACCTTTTGGTGCAACCCTTATTCAAAAAGCCCCCCCCAAAAAAAGAAAACGAAACCCTCAACCCCACAACCCCAATATCCTCAACCCTAAACCCCAAAGCCACAAACCCGAAAACCCTCACGTGGGTAGTTCTCTAAATTAGGGAAAACTACCCACGTGCGGACCAGTGTGCTGGAGCCCAGCACTGCTCGGTAGCTGACGACGTTGGGCTCCAAGCGAGCCTTCTGGTTGAGGTCACGGTTTAGGGTTTAAGGTTTAGGGTTTCGGGGTTTAGGGTCTTAGGGTGTAGGAGTTTCGGGCTTTAGGGGTTTAGGGTTTAGGGGCTTAGTGGTTTAGGGTTTCAGGGTTTAGGGGTTTAGGAGTTTCGGATTTTAGGTGTAGGGGCACCACCCAACCCCTGTATCCCGAGCTCGGAGACTCGAACGCATTGCAACCGCTGGGGGTTTGAGGGTTTAGCGTTTAGGGTTTAGGGCTTTAGGGTTCTGGGGTGAGTATTGATAGGGAAGCCGACCCCGATACCCTAAAGGCCCTAAACTCTAAACCCTGACGGCTTTACAGCAGTGCTCAAGGAACCACCGTATAAACAGCCCCATAAAGAACCCGAACCATGAGAATCCCAGAGAAACCGCCAATTTTGTTTAACTTCAAATCTCTGGAACCTGGTTTTGGGTTCAGGGTTTAGGGTTTTGGGGTTTAGGGTGTTAGGGTTTGGGGTTTTGGGGTTTTAGGGTTTAGGGCTTAACCCTGAGCTTGAAACCCTAAACCCTAAACCCTGAAACCCTAAACCCTACACCCTGGACTTGAAACCCTAAACCCTAAACCCTGAACTTGAAACCCTAAACCCTAAACCATGAACTTGAAACCCTAAACCCCAAACCCTAAACCCTAAACCCTGAAACCCTATTTCGAAGCTGGAGGAGCTCGGGAAATGGACGCGAACAGCTCCAAAGCCGCAGCCCAGTGCGAGCATTTCCTTCGAAAAAGCAAGAAATGCTCTTAGTTGCTGAGGGTTTAGGGTTTAGGGGTTAAGGTTTGGGGTTTAGGGTCAAGGGTTTTACCGTAGGGTTTTACCCTAAGGCTCAAAACAGCCCAAAAGCCTTGTATGATACGGTCTTTGGGCCCAAAAGCCTTAAAATATGAGTCCTTAGAGCCTTAGGGTTAGTTGCTGAGTTCACAAGCCCGAGATAATTAATTGTCCCCAAAAGTGTAAAGTGTATCCACTCAGCTACTAAGTGTTCAATAGCTAGAATAGGGAACCCTAAACCCAGAGCGTCCTATGTACCTATAGCCTGTAATTACTAGGAACTAGTATTACGATTTGGGGAAGTCTCCCCCAGGCCCAAACCAGTACCTAGGACCCTTTGGGAAAGGGCTTTAACAGCATAAACCGCTTCACCAGCGTTCCTTCCAGCTTCCTAAAGGAACTAAGCAACGGATACTCTTGTTGGAGCATAAGAGGAATACAGTACACCATTAGAAGTTGCAGGTGACTTACGCGACGACACTGATCAGGCTTTTAGGAATTATGCCCAGGCCGTATACAACTCTTCAAACCCGAAATGGTCCATGCAAGCATATAGTATACTCACTGACCCAAAAATCATAACAAGTAGTCCCTACATAGGTACGTTGAGGCCCAAGTATATACTATATGGGCACATGGATGCCAAAAAAACAGGCCTTCGCTGCCCAACGATTATCAAGACCCTAAGGGACTCGAACCCCACATCCCAAGCATCCAAAGAACGAGCCCCAAATTCTTAGCCCCACCTGTAACCGAAAAGACCTACCTTTTCAAGGTTTCTTATTATGGCTTCTATACAAAGTTCCTTAAAAGGGTAGGTCTTTTCGGCTACAGGCAAGCACCAAACACCGTTAAACGCTTAACCTCCAAAAGCCCAAAATCAAAAGCTTCCTGCCAAGTTGTACTTTGCATTAAGGGGTACTTATCGGACGCTGCATAGACTATATAGGTAGGGTAAACCCCACTGTTTTGCTGGTTCCTTACTATGATTATAGAATAATATACCTCGAAACCCTATTCTAATTATTAAGGCCCCTACATTACTGTCTGTAAAGGGGGGAGGTGTCTCAGTCATGGGTCTACATTGGAGCCTTGGCAGTTGTGGGGCCTCAAAAACCGGGGTTTCGCAGACTGTAACACCCAGAAAATCTATGACAAAACCCTCTCAAGATCATCCTCAAATCCTGCGCCACAGAGCTCTTTGAAGCCCGCCGGCTAACCAAAACAAAACACTCAAGTACCGCATACAACTCTTATTGCTTTATCAATCTCTCTTAGGATGGCGTAACACCGACAACACCAACAACCCCTCATGATACTTCAAGCCGTGTTTAAAAAAAAAACAAATCCAAAGACCATGCCAGACCAAGCCAAGGTCGCTCACAGGCGCTGATGGCAGCATTGTAGCTGATAACGTCGGGGGAGATCCTGCATCGGTAGGAGAGAGTTCAGGGCTTCTGGCTTAGGGCTGAGTTTAGGGTTTAGGGCTTCGGGTTCAGGGTTCAGGGTTCAGGGTTTCGGGTTTCGGGTTTAGGGTTTAGGGTTTAGGGTTTAGGGCTCAGGGTTTAGGGATACGGGTTTAGGATAGGATCTACGGCTTCCACTAAGGGTCCCTGTAAGGGATTCAGCGTGTCCAAGTACCCAGATAGTGGGGACATTGGGCCCCAGATTCCATACCATGAATGACGATGGATACCTCAAACCCTACTGTCTTGATTCGATACCTGGACCGTACCTAGACCCCAAAGAACCTACAGTACCTTTCTAGGGTGCCTTATTATGGCTTCCTTGTATAAGTCCGCGTAAAGGGTCGGTTGTTTCGGGTCCATGCAGGGGTTACTATAAAGGTTGACGGTTGCGGATCCTCTCTCGGAGTTGCAATCCTTTTAGGATTTTGTGGACTTTTGGTTTTCAGGAGTTTGCGAAACGATCTGAAATGTTACAGCTGAGTTTACCCTTCAAGCAGCCTTCAAGGACCCGATTCCCTAAACCAGAAATTCTGAGCCCTAACCGCTACACCTCTAGCCTGTTGAGGATTCTCTTGAAAAGTCCTAGACAGGTTTAGGGTCCACCTCCTGTGAACTTTGTAGCTTTCTCTGCAGCATGGGCATCTGTAAGGGCTTTACGTTTAGCGAGTCTCAAACAGTCACAGCTGCTGTTTTTTGTCTACTGAACCTAATGTAGGGAGCCCCGTAGGAGTTCTGGAAAGGCATTTATACTAGTGTTGGCCGGTGATATAAATCTGCATTACCTTAAGGGTCCTATACTCCTATACTATGGGAATTTCGGCATATTCCTTAGCATGTTATGGGTATTGCAGATCTATATCCGCAACCGTAGGTTGGTATGCCTCTGCGGCACAGGGGCCTCAGTAATAAATCAGTACTGGGTTTCAGGACAGTAACCCAGAGGGTCCATATACACTACCATTATGGAATTAGGCCCCAAAAGACCATCCCTATTATGGTTTTGGGGACCTAATTCCATAATAGTAGTATATATGGACCCTCTGGGTAAATAACTTGATGTAGTGTAGTTCGTATTAGTACTTGGGAACGCATGGCCCAACTTCCCGCGGAACCCTAAACCCTAAATCCGAATACACCCGAAACCCTAAACAACATTAGCCCTGAACATCCCTGCACCTTAAACCTCGTAGCACCCTCGTAAAAGCCCTAGAGGAACCCTGTTGATCCCTTTAAAGGAGATCTTAGAAAAGGACTCCCTGGGACCGCCTTGATCGTTGCAGCGTGCTAAAGATCTCCAGAGCAAGGCTCCACTCGCCCCCCTTCTCACAGGAGCTGATGGTGGTGTTGTAGCCTGGACTTTTACTTTTCATAGTTTTTCTATTTCAATATACACTTATACACATCTTTGTATACAACCTCTCTGTATATATATATATATATGTACATGTACCTTGTATATGTGTGTATATATATATATATATAGATATATAGGTAAATACAGTTTTCTCGTGTCTCTATGTATGTAGATAGCAAGAGAGATATCATTTGTAATATATGTATTTGTGTATATAACCATTTATGTGTACACATTTTCATGGCCTGGGCATATGAGTTTTTCTTGGGGTTCGTTACCCGTATTGAGTATTACAGCGCTTTGACCCTAAACCTTAAATCGCAGAAAGGCAATTCTGAAGCCTGCGTCGTTCAGAAAGTTGGGGCGCCAACTACCCCAACCTTTACGTCCCTAAACCCTAAACTAGGAGTTGTTTCCCAAGGGTTTCTATGAGGCTTATAATGCTGATCTACGAGGGCCCTTTCGAGTTGCATCAGTCAATGATTCTGGGCTTCATGGGTTCTGTTATAACAAAAATGCAAAATTGTATCCAACAACGACCCAGTACAGGTCTATCTGGATCCTTTAAATTTGGGCTACACAACCCGGAGCGAACTCCAAGAGCTTTTCAATGTCGCGCCCCACAGGCCTTGCAACCCGAAGCGAAACCCTAAGCACAACCTCCAAGTCAGTGCCCTACATAATCTGCATACATCCAACTTGACCTTATGCGCTAGCCTTCGAAAGCGGCTGAACTAGTCCCTAATCTGTCACCCTAAGGGTTCAAGCAAACAAATAGTAGGGCGATAGGGTGTAAACTCTCATATACCAGACTCTGAATGAATGGGTTTGGCTACCTGAAACTCCCTACTATCTAGGTATTTTCACCCCTAGGCAAGGCTTCCATAAGGGCCCTGCTACTATGACTATGAGTGTTGTTATTCTTACTGCTATAATCACACGCTAACTCCGAAACCCTAAACTCTAAGCCCGAAACCCTGAACCATGAAAACCAAGGGGCCGATCAAGTTGGGCACCAGCTGAACGGATGGCATGGATCTGAACCTGACTTTGAGGGAAGCTGCTTAGGGGGGGCTTAGGGCGGCTTCGGGTAAAGGTTGAATGTAAGGGCCTTACTACTTCAACCCTAAACCCTAAAACCCTAAACCCAAAACCCTAAAACCCTAGTATAAGGCTGTGGGGGGGGTAGCATAACATACCCCAAACCCTATTCCAAGTACTAAGGCCCCTATTTTTGGGTTAAGCTTTGTTACTAGAGGGAGTTATGGGGTTCATGGACTCTTCTGTGGCGGTTCTTGGGAGTTTGGAGGTTTAGGGCTTTAGGGATTTAAGACTGAGGGATTCAGGGGTGTACGGTTCAGGGTTTTAGGGTTTTAGGCTCGGCGCTGTGGGTTTGAGGTTTGGGGCGGTTTAGGGTTTAGGGTTTATAGGGCTTAGGGTTTAGGGGGGCTTTCAGCACGGCTGTACCAAGGCGTTGGAAGGGCTACCTGAAACTGACTCGACCATCGCAGCCATGCGGCAAGTTCAGGGCGGCTTGCCATTGAGCGCCCCTCTCGCAGGAGGTGATGGCCTAGACTTTGAAGTAACCAGGGAGAACCACAGGTATAGACTTTAATTTCATAATGGTTCCCTTAAGGAACAGGTCCCCCAAAAAAGTACTCAAGTATGGTACTCCAGAACCTATGAAGGCCCCTACATTATAGAACCCTTATAGTAGCCCTTATAGAAGCCCTTATAGAAACCCTTATAGAAGCCCTTATAGTAGCCTTTATAGAAGCCCAGTGGCAGCATTGTAGGTGATGTTGTCTGGTGTGACTTTCATGGTCGGCATGGAGTTGAAGACATGCAAGGCCTTGAAATGGGAGTTTCCAAAAATAAGGGGTACCTTCTTTGGGAGGTCCTTTTTTATAAGGATCCTACTATTTCGGGTACTATATTAGGGTCTTTGGGGGTCCTTATAGAAAGGATCCTACTATTTAGGGTACTATATTAGGGTCCCCTATTTTCGGAAACTCCCAAATGCCAAGCTTGAGGCTTACAGGAAGAGCTGGCTAGCTCCCGGATTTCAATGTACAGAAACTGACTCAAAACCCTAGACCCAAGGCCCCAACCGTAAACCCTAAACCTGAAGTAAACCCTAAACCCTAAACCCCTAAACCCTACTGCCCTAAACCCCTAACCCTAAACCCTAAACCCCTAAACTCCAAACCTTAACCCTAAACCCTAAACCCTAAACCCTAAACCCTAAACCCTAAACCCTAAACCCTAAACCCCAAACCCTAAACCCCTAAACCCCTAAACCCTACTACCCTAAACCCAAGGAGCCAGCTGCCACTGCCCGCCCTTCTCGCAGGAGCTCAGGAGTGAGCTGCAGCTGATGACGTCGGGGGCAAGGGTTGCTTCCTGCAGCTTGGGAGTTACTTGGAGGCCCAGGGGACTTAGGGTTTATGGGTTATGGGTTTAGGGTTTATGGTTTAGGGTTTAGGGTTTAGGGTCAGGGGAATTAGGCTTTAAAAGAACCCTCCCTAAAGGTCCATGTACTCATAGAGTATATACATTGGCCCCAAAGTACCCTTTCTAGGGACTACTTTAAGGCCAAAGTATATACTAAGTGTTGCTTCCTGCAACTTGGGAGTTACCTTAACCTACAAAACCCTAGTTCTTTGTAGGGTCCCTATAAATTTCATATCAGGGTTTATGATAAGAACCTACAACAAAGTGGGGTTTGGTAGGTTAAGGTAGGCTTTGAAAGAACCCTGAAAGGAGCTTCCTTACCCATACCCTCCAAGGACTCATAGTTTAAGGCTTTTTCGACCCCTATTATAGAAGGCTCTTGGGCTGTTTTGATGCTAAGGGTTATAGTCCCCTAAGACCCTAAACCCTAAAGCCCCGTATAACACCGGCTTAGTGGTGCAGGCTTTACGGAGTTTAGGAGCCTGTGCCATCTTTTAATTCGATTCCACTAAAGCCATACAGCACGACACGCTGCGGGGGCCGTGGAAATGAAAATGAGCGGGCGTATTAGAGTAAAGTTAAGAGCTATATAAGTAGCAGTGTTCAGGGTCTAGGGTTTAGTTTAGTACGACTACATATTACCCAAATAGAATATACTTTGGCCCCAAAGTGCCAAGACAGCGACTACTTTAAGGCCAAAGTATATACTATTCTATTTGGGTATATATGGGCCCTGAGGGATATGGGTAGTTCTCTACATCAGGGTCCCTTTTAGGGTCCTTCTTACAAGGGTGCCGTACTATATTGGGAACCTAATAAGGGACCCTAATTTAGAGAACTAGACCCTAAACCCTAAACCCTATAAACCCTGAACCCCTAGAAACCGTAAATCCTAAGCCCTATAAGCCCGTTTGTCAAAATTATGGTCCGTTTTTGGGTCCTTATTATAATACGGCACCTATTATTTGGGGTACCCCAAAAAGGGACCATAATTTTGACAACTACCCATAAGGAAGCCGTTCCTGCATAGAGTGGAAGAAGAAGATGGCCATCTGCCAGAGGCCCTCCCTCTCGCAGGAGCTGATGGCAGCGCTGTAGCTAACGACCTCACTTGGGTGGTTGTCAAAATTAGGGTCCCTTTTTTGGGTCCTTATTATAATACGGCACCTATTATTTAGGGTACCCCAAAAGGGACCATAATTTTGACAACTACCCACTTGGCTGAGCGTTTAGGGTGTACCCTCACACCCCCCAAAACATACTATAAGGGTTCAATATGGGGGTTTAGTGTTGGGGCCGCTTTATTAGAATCGCTTTTTGGGTTTGGGGTTTGCTAGAGTGTAGTTAGAGTAAGGATCCCAAACGGGATAGCAGTGGTACTTACCGACCCAGCCAGAGACTGCCAAGCAACGGTAGGAGAAAGTGTGGCCGCCGCTATGCCGTTGAAGAGCTGCAGAGCGAGTTGCCATTGACCGGCCCTCTTGCATGCACTGATGCTCGCGTTGAAGCCTAAGTTGTGTCTAACTACAACAAAGTTTGGGGCTCAGTGGTTCAGGGTTCAGTGACAAGGAAGCCAGACCCAGATCTTCGACTAATTCTTTCTTGAAGGAACATGACCTTAAATTATACTGGGATCCCTGATATGGCTCAATGTAGGGGCCTTAATGATTAGAACAGGGTCTTCGGGGTTTGTTCCTTGTAATAACCCTAGTAGAGTATACCCCAAAACCCCATTCTAATTAGTAAGGCCCCTAAACCCTAAACCCTTACAGTAGCCCTTATCGAACCTTTTAAGGAACTCTTTCAAGAATCCCTATCAAAATAATTAAGGCCCGTGCATTAGGGAGTCTTTGGAAGATCGGGGGGATCCCTGACCTTTTAAACCCTAAACCCTAAACCGTAAGGTTTAGGGAGATCTTTGGAAGATCTGGGGATACAGCCACAAGTATGCAACAACAGGAGCAACTCTAAATTGATGGTGGAGGGCCCCTAAACCCTAAACCCTAAACCCTAAACCCTAAACCCTAAACTCTTATAGGAGTAAAAACTAGGGGGACCTAGGCCCTCTCAATAAGAGCCGTTTTAAGAGAGCGCCCAAAAGTAGGGTTAAGAAGGGTCCCCCTTAAGGGATCTGGGTTTAGGGTTTAGGGTTTAGGGTTTAGGGTTTAGGGTACCTCGGAGTTTAGGGGTAGACACTCAAACACCAAGTATACGGATTCACAATTTTTTCCCCTGTTTTGGGGTCTTCCGGTTGTGCATAGTACCTACTGTGGGCTTTTTGGACGCGAAAACCCTCAAGCCACTTTGACATGGGTCTTGGTTGGGTTAGAGGAACAGCAAAGACGAAAGTACGCACATGTGACTCGAACGAATCTCCGTTAATCCTAAACCACACAAGCCTTTACCCCTTCACCCTAAGCCCCCTACTCAATCTTTATACTAAACCCACAGAGGAACCTTTATAGCAACCCTGCAAAGAAGCTAACCCGACTAACACTAAACCCGAAACCTTAATGCAACTAATATAGGGGCCTTAGTAATTAAGAATAGGGTTTGGGGGCCTTTATACTACAATTATAATAAGGAACCCACCCTTAAAAAAAATATTGGTTCGTTTTTGTTAAGGCCCATATACTAAACGAAGAAAGCCTAAACCCTAAACCCCTAAATCCTAAACCCTAATCATTAGGGCCCCTATACTAAACGAAGCAAGCCTAAACCCGAAACCCTGAACCCCTAAACCCTAAACCCTAATCATTAGGGCCCCTATACTAAACGAAGCAAGCCTCAACCCTAAACCCTAAACCCCTAAACCCCTAAACCCTAAACCCTAAACACTAAACCCTGATTATTAAGGCCCCTATAATACTAAACGAAACAAGCAGGGAGCTGATCGTATCAGGCCTCACGGTTCTTTCGGCCATAGAGTGGAAGACTTCCAATGCCAGTTGCCAGCGGCCGCCCTTGTAGGGTAATGTAGGGTTCCCTTTAAGGGTACCATTAAGTTTAGGACTTGGATGGATTTAGCGTTGAGGGTTTTAGGGCTTGCGCAGTATTTGATTTTGGCCTTCCGGGATAGGGTTTTGGGTTTCAAGTCGTTCGTTTAGTAAGTCTGGTGGTGTTAATTTGTCAGCAACCAAGCCTTATCACACGAGCTGATGGTCGCGTTGCAGACAATGTCATCGGGAGTGAGCTTGGAAGTGCACATGGCGTTGAACAAACCCAGAGCGAAGTTCCACTGGCTCCCCTTCTCGCAGCAGCTGATCCCCCTTACTGGTCCAGTTTTCTAAGAGGTCTAGAGGTTAACACCTTTTCGACTTTACTGAGGTTTGACAACCCAAACTGTTGATGATATCAATCCTGCATTACCTTAAGGACCCTGAACTATGAGAATGAATGATGGTATACTCCTTATTAGGGGTAATGCAGGATGTATATCATCAGCGGAAAGCACTATGAGAGGCTACTTCCCTAAACCCTAAACCCCTAAACCCTAAACCTCTAAACCCTAAACCTCTAAACCCTAAACCCCTAAACCCTAAACACCAACCCTTGAACCCTAAACCCTAAACCCTTGCTCCACTGCGAAGTGTCGAGCTGTAGCTGATAATGTCTGGCGCCAGGTGGGCCTTCGGCATCGCATCGAACAGCTGAAGACCCAGTTGCCACTGCCTCCCTTTTTCCTTACTTCCCCAATAAGCCAGGGAAATAAAAGGTTATAAACTTTCAGATTACTACTAAATTTATAAGAACCCGAAATTTCACACTATACTAAATTGTAAGAACCCAAAAAAGTTTCAAAGCTGGGTATTGGGGAAGTAAGTTTCGCAAGCAGTGATCGTGGCATTGTGGCTAATGACGCCGGGCTCGATGCTGGCGTCTGGTAACCTAGGTCTTGTTTAGGGTTTAGGGTTTAGGGTTTAGGGTTTCGGGTTTAGGGTTTAGAGTTTAGGGTTTAGGTTTTAGGGTCTTGAGTTTCCCGGGCTTCAACAGTTCCATATTTTGATTTTGATAGGCCGGTTGGCAGATAGAAAAATGTACACGAACATGCCAAGCATACCTACCTGAAGCTGCATGACCCCTAAACCCTAAACCCTAAACCCTCAACCCTAAACCCAATGTAATTCATGGGAATGCCGGCATCTCAAAACCTGCCCCACCTTACTTTACACAATTTGAAACAACTGCGCAATACATTCCCGGCTAGTGTAGAGGCCTTAATAATTAGAATAGGGTTTTGGGGTATATTATACTATAGTTACAATCAGGAGCCCCTAAAATAGTATAGGTAGTTGTTTCGGCCCGTATATTAGAGGCGAAGAAAGGAACCGGGACCCTGCAAATGTGGGTTTCTTACTGTCCCTGTAACGGTTTTGGAGAATATTATACTTCAGTTGTAATAAGGAACTCCTGAAATAATCTTCTGCAAATGTGGGCTCCTTAGGGTCCGGGTAACGAGTGGAAGATGGCAATCGCCTTTTGCCACCACTTCGCCGCGGCACAGGCGCTGATTGCAGTCGCGTAGTGCAGCGGTTCCGGCTTTGCTTGTCCAGGACCACGTTCCTGGTTAGGGTTACACAGTTTAGGGTTCAGGGTTTAGGGTTTAGGGCTTTGGTTTCAGAGTTTAGGGTTCAAGGTTTAGGGGTTAGAGTTTAGGGTTCAGGGTACAGGAAGTGTTCCTGAGCGACCACATATGAGCCGTAATCATTGTAATAGGGTGCTGGGTGACAGTCTACTATATTCGATTATGCTATAATCAAACTACACCTACATAGTGACGATAAGGAGACACGACTAATTACTTACATATTCGGACCTCTGTCTGCAGTGGCGAAGCCACAGCGGAGACAGCTTACCCACTTACCCTCCCTGAAACTAGCATGGAACCCGCCGCAAGTCTTGAACAAGCAACCGTATGTAACCCCTGGAGAGAATGCAGACGTTGATTTCCAGTCTTTTTGCTTTCTATGTTAGCCTATGAGCTTTAGGGGGGACCTCATCATCATAAACGCCTCGAAATGCAAATCTACAGCAACCGCTGTGCTAGACCGAGATGCCTAGTTGGTATCTACTCTGGACAACCCTTCAGTCCCGAGTGTAAACAGCCAGGTGTCCCAAACGTCAAGTAGCTGACACACCAGATCAGCCCTCTTCATTCGCTTCAAATCCTGCATAACCTCGCAGGGATCGTTAGCGGCTTTTCTGATCAACTCCTGCGTTGTAGGGGCCTTTAGTACTTCGAAGAGGGTTTTGTGATATGTACTAGAACCGTACATGAACAGCATCACTGATCGTTCCATACTCGTAACCCTAAACCCCTAAGCCCCGAATGATACAACCGGGGCTCATCTCGGTTTGCCATTCTGTCTGGGATCCAAGCTTAACAACTCCAACCAGCACCAGTCGGGAGCCTAGGGTTTAGGGTTTAGGGCTTTCGTGTTTCCGGTGGTGGGCTTTAGGTTTAGGGCTTTGCGTTTGGGGTTTAGGGTTTANNCCCCCCCCCCCCCCCCCTCCCCCCTAGAAGCCTACTGCTCCAGAGGTCAAACCGTACTCTACCCCAGAACGCTGGTCGCCTCATCAGGAAAGCGATGCTAACCTAATGCGGTTCAGGTTTGGAAACGGGGTCCAGAGCTTTGGCTTCAGGAATTCGTCTTTGGGAATGGCGATTCAGAGTCAAGAGCCCTGAACCCCAAACCCTCAAACCCTCAAGCCGTAAACCTATACACCCTCAGCCCGCACCTGTCCGGCTGCTTTGGGAGTTCTCTGCCACTCGCGCAGCCTCAGAGACATCAGCCGTTCGACCTCGTTCTGGCTGGGCCTGTTACCCAGGTGCTTCCTCGGCTGATAACCCCTAAACCCTAAACCTTAACCCCTAACCCTAAACCCTAAACCCCTAAACCCCTAAACCCCTAAACCCTAAACCCTAAACCCTAAACCCTAAACCCTAAACCCTAAACCCTTCAGGGCTTGGGGTGGATCGGGCTTGGGGCCCTAAACCCTTAACCCTAAACTCTAAACTTTGTAGGGCTTAGGGTGGATCGGGCTCGGAGTCCGAAAAACACAATAACTACAGGCCTTAAGCAGGGATTTATAAGGACTCATAGGGTTTTAGTGTGTGTCATTGGGCCTTACAAAACGGTTTTCAAGGGTACAAAAAAACGCAAGAGCTAGGTACTTGACTTGGGTTTAGGATACCAGTCTTTTAGGTTAGTATTTGGGTGGGTTACAACACTAGTAGCTACTTGGAACCGGAATTCTTTGGCAGCTGAACATGCTGGAAGTCCCAGTCACAGACCATGTTGGGTAAGATTCATGGCCTGTCTTGAAACTTAGGTTTGGTCAGGCATCCAAGTTTTAAGTTAGGGCCTTGATAACCTAAAAAGGTCATAAGTTCAGCTCGTAAGATATCTATATGCTCCGATTGCAGCTTCAACCGGTTCATACATACTGCCTTTATGGAAATTAGGTCCCACAAGACCATCCTTACCATAGCTTTGGAGACATAACTCCATCATTAACCACATTTAGGGTTTAGGGGTTTAAGGTTTAGGGGTTTAGGGGTTGGGGGTTTAGGGTTCGTACTATCTATGGACCCTCTGGGTAACACGACAGCTACTCGGGAGGTCCCTGAGCACACAAATAAGGAAAAGGGGTTACATCTCATCCTCCTGGTTTAGGGTTTAGGCTTTAGGGTTTAGGTTGTTCTGTACCCTGGCATTAATATGGAATTTAAAGGGACGATGCAACAACAGTAGGTTTTGGTAGGTTTCGGCTATGTCTTACCATGAATGTCAAACTCTGAAGCCTAAAGCTCTAGGCCTTGAAACCCAAAAACCCGTGAACACCTGTTGACTCTAAGCCCTCGCAAGCCCTTAAGTTATGAAGCCGCAGCCTCTAAGTTGAACCGCAAAACCTTACATTCTCCAGCCGTTTTCCCTCAACCTCAATCGCACCCAAGCGGCAGCTCCTCCAGGAAGGCAGCCGTTCTCTTTCTCCATGCCATCCGGCTTTGCTTTCGGGGGTCCACAACCCTAAACCCTAAACCCTAAACCCAAACCCTAAACCCTAAACCCGAAACCGTGGCCAAGTTCAGAACATAAACACTTCGGGGCTCAGTAGCTTGGCCCAAACAAGGTTGACCTCTTGAATGATAATGGGGTTATGTATAAGCCCCAAACAGGTTGAGGGGCTACCTAGACTTAGCCCCTAAGTTTAGGGTTTAGGGGTTTAGGGGTTTAGGGTCTAAGAACACAATGTTCAGGGCTTACAGCTTGGAGTCTAGGAGTTACGGGCGCTTGGACCCCGACAGCTTCCCAGGATGGAAGGTCCACCGACAGCATCTCCGAAGATCCCCCACGCTTCTGTAGTAGAAGGTAGGGCGTCTCTAATCGGAAATACAATTATGCCCTTTGGGAACCCTGAAACCCTGAACCCTGAACCCGAAATCCTAAACCCTAAAACCTAAACCCTAAACCTGAACCCTAAACCTGAACCCTAAACCCTAAACCCTGAACCCTGATCCCTGAACCCTGAACCCTAAACCCTAAACCAATATCCCCCAAATTTTGGGGACCCAGTCATTTGGTGCTCGGGTTTCGGATTGTAACTGTGTAGGTTTAGGGTTTAGGGCTTAGGGTTTAGGGCTTACCTAGCCCGCCCCCCCCCCCCAAGTAGATGAAATAATGGCCCCAAACCCATACAAGGCTGTTGTTCAACGTACTTTCAGGGTCCAGGTAGGGATAGCAGTTTTGTACGTCGCTATATGCGTGAGTAGATGACTCTTAGGTGCTTGGACCGTTCGGGTGAGTTCTTCCCGGAATGAAACAACGATAGAACCCGGTAGAACGCTTGTGGACAATCCCCCAATTCTATGGCTGCAACGAGTTCAGAATTGAAATTCGTATGCCCGAAGAAATGCATAGCAACCCGAAGCCCTAAACCCTAAACCCTATAAACCCTAAGCCCTAAACCCTATAAACCCTAAACCCTAAACCCTATAAACCCTAAGCCCTAAACCCTAAAAGCATAGTGCACTAGATCCCGAACCATTGAACCATTCGGCCTGAGAAAAGTCGGCCAGACGTAGCTTCCCAGGGGGTTCGCACGGTGTTCGTGGCCTATTTGGGAGTTTCAGAAAATTAGGGTACCTTACTTTGGGGTCCTTATAATAGGGATCCCATTAATTAGGGTACTATATTAGGGTCCCCTATTTTCGGAAACCCCCATTTTGCAACACCTAGACAAAGTAACAGGGAAATGTTGTCAATATTCAGCAAGGGAAACTGGCATGAAGGCCAACATTGTTCGCTGACAAAAGTCGGCTACTTAGCCAGCTGCACGTGGGCATGCAGATAGTATAACAGTAAATGACTGCATTCTGGGGCCCATGCCTCAGAAATCTCGCTGTCCCGAATCTCAAACAAACACAACCCCACAACCCTAAACCATCATAATTCCCTTCGGCTGAAAGCCCTAAACCCTAAACCCTAGACCCTAAACCCTAAACCCTAAACCCTAAACCCTAACCCCAAACCCTAAACCCTAAACCCTAAACCCTAAACGCCCCCGATGGGGGGAGTGGCTTCCACGCTGCTTCGACTCAGAACGTCGAAGACGGCAAGGGCGGCCTGCCACCTGGGAGAGGAGGATCTTTGGGGAACAAAGCATATGTTTAGG